GTTTGGAAAGTAGTTCCTATTATCAGGCCCCTTCTTCGGGGGAAATAACCTGAGATATCATTTATCGCACTGCCTCTGTAGCATCAGCAAGCTAGTAAATCCGCCGCGTGTCAATTTGTGAGTTGATTGGTAACTAGAGGATATGAAGACCAACCACACATGCTTTTCCAGTTCTACCAACCAGCAATTTGCCATTCCCCGATCCAAGAAGATCCCCCCCCACAGCACGGATACGATGAATCGTCTTACGGATGTGAGCAAAAGGGAGGAGATAGTTTGTGTTTTGCCATACTTCAGACTTGGGTGCACGGGTTCAGTGGTGAGAACTCAAGATCTATATATTATGTGAACAAGCAATATATCGGTCGACCCAACTTTGGCAGTTTATTAAACGCATCCTGTACGGTACAGTACCGTATTAATTCTTGTGACCTCTGTGGTTCGAACGGCCAACGAACGTTGTTTTAAACCCATGAAATCCTCAAAGCACTCACCTCGGGTTGGCGGGTCAGTTCGATTCAGCAGCCAACAGCCAATCTGAAGTTGAGGCAACAATGGGCTGAAATTATGATAAGAGATACATCATCTTTCCAACCCTCGTTTCCCCCAACCTACCAGTTGCCCTTATAGAACCCCTTCAAAATAGCCGTAGTGTAAAATACTTTTCAAGTCTAGCCCCTGGATTCACAAAGAGGGTGTCAATATAAAAAATCATGATTGGTGATTGTGGAAAGGGAAAATTGCAGGTCCGAGTTTAGGGGATGGCCAATGTTCCCCTCTTCTTCCAACCTTTACACATGGATATTCTGTACTGTACTTTTAAAGTATGGTACCTTACTAATACTGGTATGTTATAATAATGATAGCAGGGCAGTGCAGGAGGAAGATCCAGAGATAGTTCATGCACTCCCCCCCCCCATCCAAAGAACACGGGAGTTTATTTATCCTACGCCTTGAGCAAATGAAATAAAAAAAGAAAACACAATTTATATGTGTTGGTTTGATAGATAGGGGAAGAGATCTCTCTATATACTTTTCGCAATCTAACGTGCGCTTAAACTTGTACAAATCCAAAATTTTGCTGAGGTCACTGTTACATATTACACTGTGAAATTAAGCATGTCCCTCCTTCCGATACCATATACCTGTATATATAGAATATCGACCCGTGACATGGACGAGAAAGGGGAAAATTATTGGCATATAGAGGATTGCGTGTTGGAAGGTTAAAGTCGAATATATTGCCAGAATAGACGGATTCCCCAATCCAGGAAATGAGAATCCAACTTCAAGAGTGCTAGAAGTTGGGATAACTCGCCATTGCAAAATATACATATATATATATAATTTAATTTAGTATGGACGCTCAGACGCTCATGGATAATTTACCATCCAGATTTTTTGGCCCCTGCGTTTAGGCACTTCACACCGAATACCTTATACTGTAGTTGGGATATTTAGTGCTTCTGGGATGCAAGTTTTTTTTCACAATACGACAGGAAAAGTTTCACCTACCTCCACTAATAACAATATCATACGGACACCTCCAAACGCTGCAGTACCCGGTCCCGAATGGCCCTTATCAACAAGAGCGAGAGGAAGCAGAGGGCTTAGTCCAAACTCCGGACAGTCTGGGTGTTTAGGAGACAAGAGCACAGAGTACTGTACACGGAACAAGACGATTGGGAGAAGGCGCCGGAGGTGTGTTTCCCAAGATATATAGTGAGGGTCATTCCATCGTAGAAATAAACCACCCGACACTCCAGCCTTATATCTCTTCCATATCTGAATCAATTCTCCGCAATCTAATCAGATCCTAGCAAGAATCTGCCGGTGCACAACACATCACTCGGAATTTGTCTACTGACTTGGCTTTTCCATCGTATCATAAGGAGAAAAGCACCGTGCTTCTATTGCCCTGGGCTGATGGTGGTTTAAAAATAAGATGTCATGGTCGGGCCCCCCCTTTTTTTCCTTCCTTCCTGTTTGGCGTGTCGACGACCGCAGCGTGGTATGATATGATGGTCCTCCGGTGAAAGGGGGTTTGCAGATTTCCAGCCGCTAATTTGTCATGATAGCTCGCGCTGGGCGTGTATCTCAAGCTAAATTTCCAAATCCACACGGCGTTGCGGTTCACTCTAATCCCATCACCGCGTTGTATTGTGGGCTATGAGGCCGTTATTTTCACGAGATTCCGAGTCTGGTATGGTAGGATATCTGTAGGCTTCCTTTCGTTCCAAGACTTTTGTTGGCACGTGGCATGAAGACTACGAGGGTCGGTCGCCTTGAAAAATTGATTATCTGTAACTCGGGTGCGGTACTGTACAGTACGAGTACTGTACAACACAAGAAACCAAAAGACACCTAAATTTATGTCTCTCATAACCTCCACCCGACTCGAATACATCCGATGGGTCGTACTACGTCATACGGCACAGTTGTGACTCGATACTTCTCGCCTTGGAACAAACCAACCGACCAGCAAATGTAAATTTTTTTTTTTTTTTGCCTAGTTTTTCTGAATAATCGTGCATTTTATCACCATTCCACAGAATTCTCGACAAGGGAAAAATCCTTTCACCTTGACTCGCTGCGCTGGGGGCGAGCTTTTATCATACCTCGGGGGGCCAAGGCAGAAGGTGTGAAAAGCTGAGCACATGCAATGCAATGCAACGCGAGCACGCCACGCCGATTCTCAGCAGAACAGGTATGGATATCGTATCGGCCTCGAGTGACTGCGCCACGCCGAGGTGTCCACTCAAATTTCTCCATCCCGGCATTGCACCGTATGGGAGAGGGAGGTAGGGGAGGAAGGGGAAGGGGAGGGATAAGGGGAAATCAGGCTGGGAAAATCATAGGTGATGGATCTGGTCGGATGTGGATCTTCGTGTGGGATCCCGGCACCGGAGACCGAGGTTGAGTTGGGTTGTCGCATAGTATCATACTGTACTTGTATGATATGGGGATGGGAGCGAGTGACCTGCCTGCAGCTCAGCTCTGCTAGGTTGTGGTATGGGTTTATTATGTCACTGTAAGGTACCGGTACTGGTACTTGTACAGTGCCTTGATTCCGGGAGGTTTCTGCAATAAGGTTTATTGCTATGGTTTCAACATACTCGAGTACTCATACAGAAAATTACTACGGCACTGCAGTGGGAGCTCCCCTAGATAACGGGGGTACTTTTTCCGGGATTGTCTCTCCTACGGTCGGACTGGGATGGGAGTTTTGCGCTTCCTCACTCGAGCGAGCAGCTTGGCTTGTCTTTCGTTTAATCCAACTTATGAGAGTGCTCGTTCTGTTCACTTAGTGCTGCGGGTCTGGTCACTTCTTGGCGGGGTACCGATATCTGACTCGTAGCTTTGCTTTGAGTGGCCTTTGAGATGTTTATTTAAGATCGGGGGCGGAATTAATCCAAAATGGAAACGATGGGTTCCGCTTTGAACCTCATCGTAGCCGAATGGGAAACGTTTTTGTACCGCGAGAATGCGCGATCGTGTGGGGGGGGTGGGTGAGCGTGGCATTCGATTGGGTTTATTCGGCCTTGGATGTGATTTAGTGGGTTAATGTTGGGCTGGGTGTATGATACCGGTACTCCTTTTTCCCTATTCGCTTTTTGATGGGATATCGGTGTGAAGTACGAGGTTTTCTTTTTTACCTGGAGATTAAAATGTTTCTATTCTCGTATGGCTCGACCTTCTATCCCCACTGGCTGGTCGGGTTGAGGGTTTGCGCCCTTGACTTACAATGCTCGAGTAGTTGACGGTTAGAAAGGGCAGAAATGAAACCGAGGCGACGGACGCATGGACCATCCACATTGCGATGAACCATTGCGGAGGGGAAAGCAGAGAAAGAGGCAGGGCAAACGGAACCGAAAAAGAAGAGGAGGAAAAAACAAACCTTTTGTCTGGCTTTTTTTTTTTGTTCTTTTTGTTTCTCCCCCTCCCTCTCTCTCTCCCTTTCATCCCCTCCCGTGATCCCAGCAACGCATGAATCTGACGCTGCGAGGTGAAAAACGGCGCTTACCAAATTCAACACCCCCGCTTCCCGAACTAGGCGGCGAAGCGGTGAGGAGGTCCAAATATCGCCATATCCTAGCCGCGCCGAGGAGGGGATTTCTACTGTGTCCTGGATATGGATTGGATGAGCTTCTTGCGGTTGCAGCTGGGTGGGGATACGTATCGGGAAACGACATTCACTGGTTCATGATTTTATTTTATTTTTTTGCCTCTCGCACAACCTTGATTTCGAATTTGTCCACGCATGCTCCTGTGCATACGAGTGAGGAGAGGGTTTTGAGTTAAAGAGCAAAAAAATGGGTACTTGCACTTCCTGTACGGTGCCTTTGAGATAAGGACCGGTTTATATGTACTAGTACTGGTATTGTCGCCCGGACGATACAACCAAATGGCGCGAGCCTGCACGGTAGGCACGGTACCCGGTACAGTACTCGCTGAGAATGATATAGGAAGTCTTCATGAAATTTCCACAGGACCAAATCCTTCCCACTTGCGTGGAGAGACTACCGCTAGTGTGTGGACATGCTGTAGCAGGGGAGGGAACTCGCGAACGGTCGTTTTCCATTTCGGAGCGCAGCTTCTGGTCGCAATTGGCCCCTCCTGTCACTCGGCGGTGGAAGGTTTGACGACTATGGTTGGTCACTAGCCTCCCCTCCATCTGTGGACTTTCTCAGGGCAAGAAATCCGCATATCCGCCCTCTCCAACCAGATGGATGGGTTTGGAGGACTGAAAATTGACCCTGGCTGCGGTTATGAGGGGCGGCCACAGGTCATGGTTGGTCGCCAATTCCTCTCACCTATGAGCGGCCGACCTTAGCTTTCCCTGTACTTTTGGGCTGCTTTTCTTGTATTCCCTTCTTTCCTATAGTGGTACAATAACTCGTACGCTATATTCTCCGTTTTTGATTTTCTATTTTGCTTTTATTTCATTTATTTTTCCCTTTTCCCCATCCCCATTTTCGTAAGGCACGTTCCGTCCAATACCCTTCTATCAATTAGGTTTTCGCCTTTCATCACTTCCGTGTAGATAATAACCCTTTTGCCGCTTTTCCTCCTGGTCGGTTTCCTGCTTCTTTTTTACTTCCTGTTCTTTTCTTTCCCTTTCCTTTTGAATTTTGCTCTCTAGACTTTGGTGTCTGAAGCGCGGCAACGCTTTTGCAAAAAGATATATATTTCGGCAACGATTGCGGGTTCGATTTTGTTTCGAGAGCCGCCTGGGAGGATTATCCATTGGGATTTTTACTTTGTTTGGAGGAAGATACAAGTACAAACCGGCAGTTTTTATCGATTGTCGACATATTCTATCATCCATCATTTCATCGACAGTTTTACCCGGCCCGAGGATATCCCCTCGATATATTGTCTATAGCAAACCAAGTTGGAATCAAAGAGACGGAGGAGAAGAACAAGGAGGAGGAAAAGAGAGGGGAAAGCTGGCGGAAGCTTGGGCCAAACTCATCTCAAATCAAGCCCTTTCGAATAAGGCTCCATCTCGGATCGATAGCCTTACTTTTCATTGCATCTCGGGGAAAGACAGCAATTGCTTTCCATCTAGCTCGGGCGGTGTTGGTTCCTTACTTTGCTTTCCCTGCCCTATTTTTTTTTTTTTCGCCCTCTCGTTGGGGGTCCCTCTGGTCCGAGCTCTTTTGTACTCGTTGTCTGTCTGCGGCGTTGTACTTCCCAGCGTCAAGATTTGAAAAGGTACTGTACCTGCCACCGTACCCTTGGTTGAGCATTTCTGGGCTCCGCCTCGACAACCGCACAGCTCTAAGCCGCCACAAAGGGCCCGCGAAACAACTCATCAATTACTGAGCTCATCGTGCATAGGTTGGATTTGCTGCAGCTCTTCTACTTATTTTTGGCTAGACCATATATATTCTTGATTTCCCGGGGGGGGAGATTTCCGTCGTAGAGAAAGTCATTCTCGCTTCATTTGGAGTGTGTGGGTCATTACCGAGTTTTTAGAGAAAGTAAACCCTCCAAAACTGACAAGCTTCTTGAGAGAGACAGAAAGCTTTTTTTATTTATATTTTCGCCACATAGTGCGTCTAGCCGACAAGACAAAAGGTATGTGGGGAAACATTTAATTGTTTATTCTGGTTTGCATTTTTGTATTTTATTTTTGCATTATATTTCGCCTTGCTTAGACACACCTTCTCTTTCTGTGGTCATTATAACTACCGATCATGATTGCTGACAGGCCGCGTTACATTTTTTTATTTCTCACAGCTTGAAGCTCTACAGTCGGCGTTGATCATGGCAAGGCAGTGATTCAATTTATCCTATCCTAGTTCCCACAAATCCTAGCAGAACCAGGATTCAATAATGGCATATCGGGACCAGCAGCAACGGGCCCCCCACCACTTACCACCCCACACCACTTCCCAATTATCACTACCCAAGCTTCGCCTCAAACCTTCCTCCTCGAAGCTTCGTAGTGAGCAATCCTCATCACCTCAGCCGTCGGCTCCTACTTCTAGGAGGCTGCTCCACGAGCACACCTTTGCTTCATCAAGGAGGGCGGAATCCCCAGTACTATCACATCCAAGGAAGAGTAGTCTGCCGAAGCCTATGTCTGTTATTAGCTCTCCGACAATGACACCCGTTACTACTTTGAAACCGAGGACCAGTCCGCCCTCTAGAAGCAACACCGGCTTCGGAGGGTCGGCTGTATCTTATGCTATAGCTTCGCCGGAGAAACGACCGCGAACACTAATACGCAGAAAACCCTCGGCTTCCTCAGCTGCCTCGTTCTCATTGACAAGTCTACGAACAGGCTCGACGACCTCGTTCAACGCATCTACCGCCTCGATTACCTCCTCGTCTTCACTTGTCGGTGGGTCGAGGAATGCCTCTCAGAGTTCAATATTGGGAATACCCTTACCGCCTACCTCCACTGTGGGGAAACCACGAGCGAAAAGTTCGTCATCGACCCAGGGCGAGGCTCCCCGGCCACGGACACGAGAGCTACATGTTCCTGCCCCAATAAACGTCTACGATAGTGGAGCTAGCAGTAGCCCTTCAACGAGGTGTACTGAGTCACCAGGAGGGTATAGTTACTCATCCACCCCCTCATCAATATCCTCTCACTCTCCCGGCTTCCCGCCGGCGCATCACAGATTCCGTAATCCCACACCACCGGTGAGGAACAATCTTGATTCGGTTCGCGAGTCGACCACATCCACGTCGTCCGGGTCTACCATCCGACCGGAACACCGTGACATCGATTCCGACTCGGAGGACGGGGGTGTGAGGACTGAGCAGCGGAGCATTGGGACAATGAGCCCTCCACCTGCGGTTGAAGAGACGTACTTTCCGCAGTTGGGTTCCGCTTCCGTACCTAATACACCATTTTACCAACCACCCCGTGGATCACCTAGGCTTGTGCCACAGGCGGCGCCTTCGCCTCTGCTCCTGCCTGCTACACACTCAAAAACTCCTTCTCCTGCCTTGGGTGTTAGGGGACGGAAAGATAGCACTTCGTCCATTTCTTCAAGATTAGGTACCCCAGATTTAGGAAACATGGCACGTGGTCTCGGGGTCTCAATACCACCGCAGGCGCCATCAACCAGACTAGCAAAAGGACGGAGCAAGTCCCTTAGCAGCACTGCTGCTTTCTCATTACCTATCAGAGCGGGTCGAAAGGAGACTGCTACTCCCCCATTACCATCACCCGGATACCCACATCCCAGGAAGAATAGTAATCCTATTGCTAGAGGTCCTACACCACAACCACGAGATCCTATAACCATTCAAAGCAGTTTGCACCATAATAGCCCTGCATTTTTATTAGCAAGTAACATTTCTGCCATGGCTAAGAGAGGTGAGAGTAAGGATAGGTCTGGGCGGGAAAAGTCGCCGACAAGGTCCAGCCCTGGAAAGTCGCGACCGAGTTTCTTTTCCCGAGGAAGGACAAAGACATCGGGATCGATTGACGAGAAGGAGAGGGGGAGGGAGAGGGAGAGGGAGAGGGAGAGGGAGAGGGAGAGGGAGAGGGAGAGGGAGAGGGAAAGGGAGAGGGAGAGGGAAAAGGAGAAAGAAAAGGAAAGAGAGAGAAAGGTGGAGAAGGAGAAGAGGAAGGGCCCTGTCGCGGGTACTGGACACGAAGGGTATGCGGCGTTTGGGAAACAGATTACTAGTAGAGGTAGAAGTGGTTCCACTGGTGGCAGCAGTATTGGGAGCTATGTGAAGAATGGCAGTTCTACTGGAGGTGGATCGCTTGGCAGAACAGCGGGTAGTAGGCGAGGTAGCTCGAGTGGTGAGCCGGATGACTACCTACTTGACAGGCTAAAGCCGGTTGTTATTGTTGGGGGCGGAGCAGTCGTTGAGAACAGAAATACTGGTGAATCAATGATCAGGACCGGAAGTACCGATAGCAACAAGGAGAAGACGAGCTTAGAGATTGGGAAGCAAGGCCCCAGTCCCGTTTACATGTCAAGGGAAGGAAGTTCGGATAGCATGTTCAAGATTCCCGGGAGGAATACTACTCCAAAGTTACCGCCTTCGCCGGGCCCTGAGGCCCTTCCGCGGAAATCGGGACGATGGGGTTTCTTTCGGTCTGGCAGTGCATCTAGTTCACGGGGGAACGCGACTCCATCACCGGTGCCGACTCCTGCCCCACCGATTACTCCGATCCCGGCCGCTGCGTCGGGAGCGATACCAACTGCTACTACGCGAAAAGCGATACATTCCAACAGACGCCAACCGCACTATGCGATTCTCGACCAAGAGCAATTGCAAGAAGCTGCACAATTGGCAGAGCATTTTCGAGAGCTCCGACGAGAGCACGTGCAACCGACAAATAATTATGCAAATGCGATCAGGCACCAGGGCGGTATCCACGAGCCACCAACCGTTTCTCAGCAAGTCACTCCTTTGCCGATTTCTCATCCTACGGCTGCCGTGCTACCTCTGCCTCCTTTACCTACTCCCGCACCCCCTCCACCAACACTGCTGCCCCCACCACCTATTTCGTCACCACCACCATTATCGAGGTCCGCTCCCCCAAGCGCAGCAGAGCAAGTACGCAAGGAAGTGCGTGCAGCAAGGGCAAACGAACGGGAATATATTCAGCGACTCCAGCAGGTTGGCCGGATCCCACCAGTTACAAGAACGAGAGCACCTAGCTTTCCCCAAAATGTGCCGGCCTCACCACTCGCCCATCCGAAGACTGTTCCTGTTGCTCCTCCACAAGCCCCTCCGCAAGCACTTCCTCACGCCCCGCTAAGGGCAAAGCCAATGCATAAGTTACCCCCAATCAAGACGCAGATTCTCCGCGCTGAAGTTGAAGCCAACACCGCACCACCGAGAATGGATCGTCCATTCGAGGATGACTTCCGCAGAGCGAACGAGGGCTTCCAAGTCCCTTGGGGTTCGTATGGGCTCACCCCTACCACTGCGATCCGCCCACCCAGGACCTCCTGCCAGATTGACCCTCATGATGTCCGTGGTGCACGGGCGGCTGAAATGGTAGTTGAGATTTCCCACGATACCCTGACTGCTGATCAAAGAGGTACAGAATGGCCTATCAGAGAGGATTTTGCTGCTTCGATCCCTGCAATTGCAGGGCCGGTGCCGGAGCCGATGCCAGAGCCAGTCGAAGAAGAGGAAGACATCTGGCCAGAGTACAACGACCTCATTGATACAGGGCTATTTGGCGTGGCTACAACCGCTGAGTCAGAAATGGAAGAGGAACAACCTGGCACAAAATCAGCGACATCATCACTCGGCTCGCCCTTCCGCTATGAAGACCTTTGCAGCGCATTCCCGGACCTCCGAGATGATGACGAAGGAGTGAAACTTAACGAGGAAGAAGAAGTTGATAACAAGGGAGAACCTAAAGTCAATGACTCGCCAACCCTTCGGAATGCTCCCCCCACACTCGTCCTGCCCTCGCCTTTGCCTATCGTTACCAACCAGCCGTTCACACCGCCGGCTTACAAGATTCTTACTCCTGGTACGCCGTTTTCCGTCACTTCGTTTATCAGGTCTTACGGAGATGACCGTGACCGGGATTCTCGGGGGGCAATGAGCAGCATGCAAAGTAGACATAGTGCTCACCTGGAATCGTCTCCACCACCGAATATGAGTCTCCCATCTACTTCACCCCGCCGACGATCACATAGATCCCGGGGTTCTGGTGGGTCCTCCGATTCACATGGGTCTGCCGACTCGACTGGGTCGATCGACCTCGATGCATCTCAAGATGAGATGGCTGTGCGACTTTGGGCGCTGAAGGCTAGTCGCTGGTTGTCTACTGATAGAGTCCTTGTCAGTCCCGCACACGAGATGATGACGAAGATTACGACGGCAGTTAGTCCTCGCGCCAGTGGCGGTGGTAGGGTTCTTGTTATTGATGGTCTCGGCACGGGTAATTCTTCTCCCTTACCTGTCGGGTTACTAGAGCATTAACAATTATACAGATGACTGGTCCTTCTACTGCGCCCTTTCATACCCCTCTGCGAAAATCTACAACCTCTCTCCTTCCCTCTCCTCAAACCCACAAACCACCAACACCCCGCCATCCCCCTCTAGACCTCAAAACCATCAACAAATCCACCACGAAGACCTTTCCTCCTCCTTCCCCTTCCCAAAAGGCTTCTTTAACGTGATATCCTTCCGCTTCCTCCCTAGCTCCTCAGACTCCAACCTCTCCTTCATCCTCTCCGAGTGCCGGCGCGTGCTCGAGCCAGGCGGTTACCTGGAAGCAACAGTCCTGGATGTAGACCTCCTCGGCAAAGTCGGGCCAAAAGCGCGCAAAGCCGTGGACCTGGCCAAGACAATCATGCACCGCGAGAACTGCACCTCTTCCAACTCTACCTCCATGCAGTCGGAGAAAGTACTCAGACTGCTATCCAAGCGCGGCTTCGAAAGCCCGCACAAGTGTTTTGTCGGCTTACCGGTGGTATCTAACGTCCCCATCACCGGTGGTGACGAGGTCAATAGCGCGGTACTTGCAAAGGTCGGTCGGTGGTGGTATACTAGATGCTATGAGCGGGTGATTACGAGTCAGGGCGAGGCTATGAGAAGGAGTATGTGGAATGAGCGTGGGTTGTTGAGGGAGTGCGGGGAGAGGAAGACGGCGTTTAGGATGCTGGTTGCGTACGCCAGGAAGCCGATCAAGGGAGCTTCGGCGGGCGGGTTGATCTAATCTTTCCTCTTCCCCGTTTCCTATGATTGATATCATACCTCTTTTTTCTTTTCCCCTCAAATCTCGTTTTCACCAGCGAACGAGCGCTCTTTCAACTAATGGCTGTGGTGGCGGCGGAGTTTCTTCTTTTCTTTCACTTATACCTTTCTATGATATCGTACCTATTTTCACCTTTACGTTTGTCCTTTTTCTGTCGCGGAGTTTCTTTTGGCCTTTAGTTTTTGCTTTTCAAGCTTTATTTTTTAGCGGGACTGGTTTTCGGGTTCTTATCCTCTATTTTCTACGGCTTGGTTTTTGTGTGGGCATGGGATTTATTTACATGTAATTTCCTTCTCCTTATCCTTCGTCTCTACCATACCCATTTGGTCCGTTTTGTATAGCACCCTCCTCCTCACTTTCACCCTCGATCCATGGAAACGACTGTATGTACCGGATACGACATGTTATGATTTACGCTTTGACTTTTTTTTCCTTCTCTTTTTCTTCATTTCCTCCTCTCTTCTATATCATCTACTCGCCAATTCCAGAAGTATCCAGACATGGTAGATTTCCGGACACTTTTGGAATTGACGAGGGAGGTAACCTTGTGCTTTCTTCGTCATACATGTATTCTTTGGCATAGTAAGTTAGTGTCGAGTGGTTAGGGTACACCAATTTGTCTCTCTACTTGTCTGCAGTACCAAGGGTGTTACAATATGTAGTTTGTTGGCGGTGGGGTTGAATTAAATTAAATTGCAAGTCCAAGAAGAAGAAGAAGAAGAAGAAGAAAGTCTCTCCTCCTCTAATTTCTTGGAAATAGTTAGTCCATCCGAACCCGACCTTCCCTATGCAGAAAGTACAAGCTATTGTTAGTGCGGTAGCACAACACGTGACTTTTCGATTGTACGAGTAGGCGAGGATCTGCCAGGGCAAATAAGCGCTTTGGAACGATTGGCTCCCGGATGTCTTGCTTTGCGTTTGGAACACGATAGTTTATCAGGCGTACCGGTATATCACCGGTTACCCCATCCTTGTTGTTTCTCCAACCCACGATATCATATCATAAAGGCCGGTGATAAGCGGTGAGCGGTGGTGGTGGTGGTGGGCGCTGTGTTCAGGGGTTGGACCATGATGGTGGTGTGCTATGTACCGTGGCAAGCTGAATCCCTCTTCATCCACCGGTACGAGCACCGCGGGGCGTTCGCTGAACCTTGAGGGATTATGGCGAGTTGCGGGGGGGGGGGGGGGATAAGGTTTGTTTTTGGGTAGGGA